CGTGTGGATTGATAGGAGGTGTTTAACACCCATCTTTTGGCGGCGATAGTTGTTAGATGTGGTCGGTGTGACATTGAGCTGGGTTTTAGTCAACTTTATGATTCAAGTGAGTTTCCTTACTATACTTGGGGGTCGAAGGCACCAATCTCGTCCCACTGGATTATTTTATGTAGAAAGACCAGGTGGTGGCACCTGGTAACTGCATGAAAGACCTGGATATGGCTCCCGACAATTTGTATGCAATACCAGGGTATGGACCTTGGTAGTTATATGTAGTATGTTAGTTGTCTTTATGATACCCACATAAAAGACTATGAGGTGGCTCTTGGCACTTGTTGGTAAGACCCGGGTTTTGGCCCCCGGCTTGACAAGGAAAGACCATGATACAGTTCATGGCCTAATGGAAATTATAAGACTATGAATGGAACATAGAAGTCTCTATTGTACGTATGGTATGTGGTATTTTGGGGAACTTACAAAGCTTTGTGCTTACGGTTTTATGGTTATGGTTTCAGGTGCTTATGGTGCTAAAAGGAAGGGTCTGGCATGACTGCACTGCATTCCCAGAGTTTACGCATCGGCTACTTATGATTTTTACTCTGATGTTTTCATGATGTAATCGCTTTGATTTGGTTTTGGAACAACTTATTTGTATGACTTATTGTTTTAAAAATGAAAATTTTACTCTGAATTTTTGGGACGTTACACACTATTAAACTCAAATCATCACCGCTTGATCTTCACTTTGACTTGAAGCAATCCTTGTAATGTTTCAAAATGTTTTTTAACATTCAAAAGCTAGATCAACAATTATGGAGTTTTCAATTATTATAGAAACGGCAAGTCAAGGTGAAAACTCTAAAAAAATCCATAAATGTAGCTTCCAACCGATTGATGAATTCCTTAGATTTTAGTTACTTTCAAAAGATCATTTAAGTTTCAAATCAACATTGAATTCATATATACCGTTAATGAGCTTGAAGCTCTCAAAAAAATCATTATAACTAATATATTAAGCAATGAATGAGTAATATGAGAATATACTTATGTGATCTGTAAGCTAAAACTTACTAGAAATAACAATGAAACACTTCTAATAAGAAGAAATTCAGATTTGGGCTTTCACCCAAACCTTATATCGAACTAGGTGAAGGAGATGAATGAGATATTACCTCTTACAGGCTCCTAATCAATCTCTAGGTACTCTACTTCAGTTGTTTTTCACTTGCTTCTATAAATCTCTCCATAAGATCTTATTTCTTCTTTCATTCCCTCTCCAAATCCTTTCATCTTTTAAATAGGAAAGAAAGAGTGAGAACACAAAAACTAGATTTTAAATATTTTTAGTTTACACCCTTGAACCTCTAAGTTATTTCTAAAATACACCCAACTTACTTATTTGTCATAATGGTTAATATCTAGTCCCTCCCTAATATGGATCTTAACACAGTGGTCCTTATAAAAGTTAATCAAGTACAACTTCGGTCAAATAATAGGTATTAGTCAAATTTACCTTTTTAACCCTAGTTTTTGTTAAATTATAGAATGCTTGATTATAATAAGGATTTAACCTCATATAAATAGGTATACAAAATGCACTCTTGACCTAACCTAAACCCTAATAGGTATTGGCCTAGACCTAATCACTAACACCCCATCCCCTTTCCATGCACGTGTAGGTTGATCGGTAGGAGACAAATAAAGTGGAAAATAAACAAAAGAACAAAACATAAAAGCATAGATGACGACAGCTGCAGCAGCAGTGGCAGAGCTCCGTGGAGGCTAGTAGTGACTACTTTTGGAGAAGAAGAAAGAAGTGGCGGCTAAAGACGATTCCATTATAGAAGAATGAGTGATGGCTGGAGATGGTTTCGTTGCAAAAAAAGAGGGAGTCGGCGGCAACAACGACAATCATGGAGCCGGTGTTAACCTAGATCTCTGATATCATGTTTGATTATAGAATACTTGATTATAATGGAATTTAACCTCATAAATAAGAATACAAAATAGGTTTTTAATTTAACCTAAACCCTAATGGGTATTAGTGAAATCCTAATCACTAGCAGCTTTTCATAATTAACTATCATAACTTTTATTTCAATTAATTTGGTATTTAAAATTTACAAATTATTAAAATCTCTGTGATTGGCAAATTTATGTGCTTTTGGTACAAAACAAAATGTTGGTGCACCACTGGTCCAAAATTGGATCTTTTTAGTGATTTTGGTCCCTTTACACTTGAAATTACTTTTATACCCTTTTAATTTATATTTTCTATTTTCTTTAATTGCTGAAATGCCTTAACTAAATTAATTTCAATTATGTTTAACTTAAAACAACAAAAATAAAATAAAAACTCAGACCACCCTCTCATCTATGTTATAGTACGAGGAGGAGAGAATCCAAATCATCACCACCACCCTCCATCATCTGTGTCTATAACCACCGTCGGCAGATTCCATTCTCGTCGGAGTTACCACGTTCGCCACCACCACTGTCTCATCTTTATCCGCCTTACACCACCTAAATTTACTTCTTTCTATCTTTTTCAAAACACGCATAAACACAGTGTCAAGAACATACACTCACCCTCTCACGAAACACCCACACCGGAAACCACAGAAAACAGGCTGGAAAACAACCACATGCTCCCCTTCTTGCCCATATCTAAACCAAGAGATGCAAGGGGTGATCAAACCCTAAAATTAAAACCAAACATCATGCCTAGAAAAAACCTAGAAATTAAACTCAAAAATCATTGATGAAATTATGTAACAGGCAAGCCACAAGAACACTATCCCTTTCCCTTCCTACAACTCCGATGATTTTAGTAAAGCCATCTGTCACCACTGTATCCTTCGCCACCACAAGCTCCTTCCTATAATTCCTTTGTCCGGTTTTCAAATCTGATATCTTTGTCTCCAATAAGCAGCTTCGATGGAATTTTTATCTTTACCCCTTGCAAAAACTTCTTGATTACAGTCAAGCAATCATATTTCACAAATGCCCTCTCTTCTCTTCCTAATTCATGTATTAATTTCCTAAACTTTACAAAATCCATCTCCATGTAAACACGGTGAAAGAAATAAGAAGAAGAGGAACCTAGAATTGAGAAATGCATAAATCATCTTCAAATTATTTGGTGAATAACTGAGTTGGATTAGTTGGGGATCTAGAAAACAATGGAATACCGAGAGAAACGATTCCTTTGACTCTATCAGGCCGGAAAAGACTAGATGATGAGCGACAGTTGTGCCCCAATCGTGTCCCACCACAAACACATTATATGATAGGGATTTTTTATGGATGTGTATCTATTAAGGAAGGAAGATGTGGTGGCGATGGTTGAATGAAGTTTTTGAGGTGGCAATGGTCGACGATGGTGGATGCAGTGGGTTGAAGGCCGAGGGTGTTTTGAAGGTCGGTGATGGATTTTTAACAACATTAGAGAGAGAGAGAGAGAGAGAGAAGGGGGGGGTGGGGGGTGGGGTGTTGACTTAAGAGGGGTGGGTGGGTTTTTTGGTTTTTTTTAATTAAAATAATAGGAACTTAATTAAAAAAAATTTAAAAACAGTCAGTTAAAGGCGCAATCGTCATTTTAGGTAGGGTATGGACCAAAACCACAAAAAATGATAATCATAAGGATCAAAACTACACAAGATATCCAATTTTAAACCAATGGTGCACCAACATTTCTTTTTGGACCAAAAACACATAAATTTACCAACCATAAGGATCATTTTTGCATTTTTGTCTTTTATATATCTTTAAAAAAAAGTAAGTAAATTAAAAATATATATATTTGAAGGATGTTACAACAAACAAGGTAGCATGTAAACCGGATGGTATTCAACCCTACACTAACATCTATCATGATATGCGTTAACCAATCCTAACATAGCAACGGAATAGCACATCACATCAACAATAGTATATAGTATACAACTGTCACAAACATCACCCATATGCATCAACCTAGCATGACAACTAGATGGCATGTTACATCAAACTTTAATATAGTGTAAAAGTATAATATCTCAACATATCATCAAGCGGTACGTATACTGAGGGGGTGTTTGGGGTTGCTTTTAAAATAACTTTTGATTTTTAACTTTTTTAAAAAATTAAAAAAAAGCCAAAAAGTGTTTGGATAGTTCAAAATATCTTTTGGAAATGACTTTTGGCAAGAAGAAATAAGGAGCTTCTAAAAGTCACAAGATCATGACTTTTTGTAACTTTTTGTTGTTTGGATAGTTCAGAAGTCCTTTTGTCAATCCAAACACATTTTAAAGACTTCTTTTGCAAAAAGTCCTTCTACAAGGACTTTTGATGCTCAAAAGTAATCCCAAACACCCTCTAATAGACCTGCACAAAAGGACCGGTCTCAGACAAAATCCGAAAAAAAATTACCGAGACCGAACCGGAGACCGAAAAATACCGGTCCTAAAAAAGACCGGACCAAAAGAAGATCGGCCCGAGACCGTCCAAGACCTGTCCAAGAAAAACTGGACTGTTCTGAGACCGGAAGTCAAAGTTTATAAAGATATCGTTTTTATGTTAATTACACAATTTTTAATCATACGTTATCTAACTTCTTTTTCTTTTGATAAACTTTAGTGTATCATTTTTAATAAAGTTTAATCTATCATTTTTGTGTTAATCACACATTTGTGAAAGGAAAAACTCGAAGCCTAAACTAAAAAAAACAACAAATACCGAAATCAGGCTGAAAGAACCGGAAAACCAAACCGAAAAAGACGAACGGAAAGACCTAAAGACCGGACCGACGTCATTAGGGCCTCTTGTGGAGCCGTTAGTCATGTCGAATACGCATCATACAAGGGGATATTATGTATTCCCCGAATCAGATTAAATATTAGTCTTTAAGATAAGTTTTATAACAATGATAGATTTCTACAAAACAGGGATTATTTTATGAAATGTGAAATTAACATTAAACATGAAAATCTTTCCATATCCAAAAAATAATAATAATAATAAAGAGCACAAATATTAGTCCATGCATTTTCGTCTTAAACAAATGAACAGAGTCCCCCAACATCTAATCTGAGTCAACTCAGCACCATCATACCAAATCAAATGACATGATAATACTTGATCACCATTATCTTTTACACATTCATACTCTAATCCCTACTGCTTAACAACAGTCTTCCCCTGAGTTTTCAGTTTTCCGGCGACCTGCTCATCGGATAATGGCAAGTAGTAAATCCGGGGAGTTGCTCGAGTCTTTCTGAACAAATCATCCAATGTCATGATCGGAGGTTCCAGCTTTTCCGGGAGCGGTGGTGCTGGAGGGAGATGATGCTGTGGTGGTTCTCTTGATTGTGGTGGAAGGGAGAGTGGCGGTGGAGGTGGAAGCGCGAGTGGGGTTGTCGTGGTGGTGGTGACCGGAGTTGGTGGTGGAGGAGGGTCGGTTCGGGTTTTGACTTCGGATGGATCGACAAATTCCGCCATGAGAAGCCGCCCTCCGTTTGCTGGCCATTGGAGATTGTATACTGCATTTCGAGTCTCTACAGCTTCTTCAACAGATGAATACTACACAAAGAAAAATAAATAAATATTTTTCTTATTTAAGTATAAAAAGAGAAGTGAAAACTTACAGTAACATAACAGTGAGTTTTAATATGATCCATCCAGAAGCTGACAACTGTCCCAGTTTTACCAAGAAGTTCTTGAACAGCCTTTAAAGTAAACGGACGCAGAAAATGGTCAACTCTGAGAGAAGTAGTTGCAGGCTTTGATGATGGAGGAACTGCCAAATCAAGAAATGACACAAATATGAAAAGGGCATTCTCGTCTTTTCACAAAAACAATACACAAGCGATAACTCACCAACACGTTCTTTCGGCTCTTCATGACTAACTGAAGAATCAGATCTTGAAAAGCTGTGCTTCATTATTGAACTACCCTTAGGTGTAGTAATCTGTTCAAGGGCATTATTGGAATTCCACCTGCGCTGCCTCTTTACTACCTCATTGTTTGCCACTGCTTCTTGGTCTGCCACGTCAGCAATTTAGAGTCATGAGGGCAGAAAAAGGAAGAAAAAAAAAAAGGTTATTAGGGTTAAAGACTTAAAGTTTACCATATTGTTTTCTTTTTGTGGACACATCAGCAATTTCAGTATTTGTATCTTCAACCATAACATCAACAAGAGGTATTTGTGTTTTTTCAATTATATCTTGAGAAGTGAAGTTTGAATCACTTTGCTTACTTTCTAAAGCATCTTCTTCCATGGAATCATCATCTAAATTTAACTTCTCTGGAGAACCCACATCTAAAATATCATTTTTCTTACTTTCAGTTTCAGCAATCTTGAAATCTTTCTCATCAACCACAACTGGATCTGTTTTGCCACCATCATCAAGGATTGATGGCTTAACATCAAGTTCTAGTTTGACATCATCAGTAATTACATTATCCTTTAGTTCATTCTTTTCAGTAATTGACACAATAGAAATAGAATCAGATTTTACTTGGCTGACCTCGACTACCTGGCTTCCAATTTCAGATGAATTTGGCTCCGCTTCTTCTTCCTTTGGCAATGGCTTTGAATTTGATTCCTGCAAGTTTGACACCTCATCATTTTGTAACTCCTGCTGACCCAATTCTTGAGATACCATAACCTCAGTTACTATAACAGATGTTTCAACAGAAACCTTTTGAACTATATCTATTTCTAAATTCTCTTTAACCTTATCTTTATCTCTGTTTTCATCATCCAAATTCTCTGTAACCTTATCTTTATCTAAGCTCTCATCTTTATCCAACTTCTCAGTGATGTGATCTTGGTCTAAGCTCTCATTTTTATCAACCTTCTCTGTAACATTATCTTCCTTTATGCTCTCGTTTTTGGCAATGTTGTCATCCATAGTTTTGTCTGCAACGATTGGGTCTACTACTGCATCATCAGATGGAATTTCAGGCTGTTCATCATCATTGACACCATTTTCATGGTTTTGGTTATCCTCTTCAAGTTCAGCACGAATAGCTTCATCCAATCTCTTTACCAGATCATCTTTCAATCCTCTGGTAACTAGTTTACGTTTCTTGAGTTCTTCTTTCAGCTCAGTTACTTTCCATTGATCAAGGGAACGATTTTCAAAGACAACATAGGGCGATGATGGTTTTTTGCTGGACATTTCTCCTATTGAGCGATCCTCAAACCTGGAAAATTTTCAGATTCAGAAGAGAATAATTAAAATGCATCATGATTATCGACATGTAAGGGAGCGTAAATATATAGATTCTCTTCAGCAAGCACAAAATCAGAAAAAGTAATAAATTACCCATAATACCAAGAAGTAAACAACCTGAGGGAACAGTAGACTAGTAGAGTACTCACAATGGTTGTTCGACTTGACGAATATTGCGGAAAGAAACACTGATTCTAGTAGTTGGTTCGAAACTTAATTGGTAGGTGCAATAACATGAAACCCTAAGTTCATCCAGACACAAAAACAACCATCAGGAGAACTACAAATTTTCAAAACAACAAAATTAGCAACACGAAGGAGGATAAATCAAGATTATAAGCTACGGTCTGCAAACAAATAAATTAAACTGTAAACGACGAAGAAACAAGATTTTGAAAAATTTATGACAGAAGAAAACCTCCGGAAGATGAAAATGCAGTTTCTAGAAGGGCGTGGCGTTTTCAATTGGAGAAGAAAATGGACCTCTTTTTAATTTAGGGTTTTGCGTTTACGGTGTTTGTTGTGTTGGATGAAAAATGAGATCGGAGGAGAGGGGTTGAGACGCCGTACCACTTCTTGTTGAAACCCCTGTTATCTTATGATGTCATCTCTTTCTTTCTTTTTCACTTTTTTCTTTTTTTACTTTTTTTTCTTAACTCAACGTGAGACCGGAAGAAAGGGTTCGGTATAGAGCTCGGAAAATGCTCATGGCTAGTAAACATTGTGTCATGGGTTCGGCATGCCGAGTTTTGTCATCCAACTCAATAGAAACTTGACACTTCTCAGTTCTCTCTCATTTTTTTATTGTATTCTAACGGTAAAATTCAAATTTTCATCACTTTTTTCTAAATAAATACCACCAACTCAAATCAATTCATACCTCTCTTAAAACCTTCAACACTCATCATACATCTTTTAATTATATCTTTACAAAATACATTCTTCAAACTCTCAGTCTAATTTCACTAACATAAGGAAGTCCCCCATTATAACTTGTACCCCAAAAGAAGATGCAATTTTGGCCCATGCATTAGTAGATATATCGGACGATCCTTCGATCGACAACAATATGACAACTTTTGGGGAAAAGTTACCACAAGTTTCCTCAATGAAATGCATCAAGGTGACTATCGCAAGAAATATCATATATATCTACAATGGGTGGAAGTATACGAACAAATTGGTAGCGAAGTTTAAAGTTTTGTTTAATAACTTGAAACACAACTGGCAATGTGATGGAAATGATGGTGAAAATGATGTAATCTTTTTAAACCAAGCTCACTACTGAATTTTCTGAGTGAAATAAGAAAAACCTTACAAATTTGTTATGTTTCTTAGTTTTTAACTTGATGTTATATATTTTTATTTTAAATTAATGAAATTTCTAATTTTTATTTAAATTTAGTTGTTTGTAATAATATACAAAATAACTTTAGTTGTTTGAAACACTTTGGTATGAAACTCATTCCTTTAAAATTGCAAAATAATAATAATAATAATAATAATAATAATAATAATAATAATAAAAAGAGGTGTGTAAAATTTGAGATGACACTCATGTGGCAAGAAAAATAGTGTGACAAATATGTCACCATTCCAGAAGCTACGTTAAATCTGATATGAGCGTAAAATTTGAGATGACATTAATGTAGCAAGAAAAATAGTGTGACAAATATGTCACCACTCCAGAAGCTATATTAAATCTGAAATGACGTTGATGTGATAGAAAAACAGTATGACAAATATAACACAACTCCCTCCGGTCTCATAACACACAAAATTATGTCACATTATCATAATTTCTCTACCATTTACTTCAAAAATATTCCACACTCCCAAAATAACTTCAATAGCATTGCTTATTTATTTAAAACATATAATCTTAAATTAAAATAAAATTATTTCATTTAATTAAAAAATATAAATCTTTAAAATATTAAAAAAAATTAAAAACTACATAAAATACTAAGAAAACTACTTTTCGTCTTCATCGATATCTTTGTCTTCGTTGGCATTTTAAGTGTTGTATATGTGATTCATCAAATCTTGTTGAATACTCGTGTATGTTTTCGGATTGTTTATTTCTAAAATTATCGCCATATATTGGTCCTACCTGGTATAAATTATCGATACGGATGAAATAAGTCGTGCAAATTATACGCATAATTATTCCGGCCTTTTTATTCAATTACAATATTATGTATATATAATACAAGCGTACAAAATCCTACGAATATTTTGTAGATGTCATGCTCGTGCTAGTTGTTTCACTATGTGTCATTTCCTTTTAAGGGCTCCAAACACACATTTGATATCCTTTTTGTGTCGATTCCTAAGTTGTCTTGAGCAATTTACGTTTTTCATCTTGTGGATAATGATACACCTTAATGAAGGTGGTGTATGCATGGGGTATAGTACATCGGTCATATAATACCCATCCTGTTAAAATATCACTAAAGAACGGCAACTGATTGAGAACATTTAGATCATTGTTGGACACAGCCATACCAAAGTAAGTGTGCCAAATCCATAAATCTTGTTGATGGGTTTTGAGAAGGTAAAAACGGTCTTTTTATTAAAACAATTTTAAGCGGCAACGGAAGCAATTTTAAAATAACAGTTATTTTAAGATCATTTTAACAAAACCAACAAGTATCCATTTACATAATACCAGAAAGATAATAAACAACCATAGGGTGTATAGGAGACTGTTGGATTTTAGTATACTACAACATCCTGTGGTGCACATACAACCCTAAATACCTTGGATCTATGTTTTCACTAATTATACGTGCAAAGGTGTTTCCAAGGTATTAAGCTTATAACTAGCATGCAATTATCATATACCATACAAGATACTAGTTAGAGTAACATACCTTTTATGTGGCTTGAAGTTTGATGTATTTGGTGTTGCTTGAAAGACTTTGGTCTTTAAGAACTTAGTGCCCCAAGTGTTGCACCTCAAATGGAATCACAACTCACCTAGGACAAAGGTGAAACTTGAGAGAGAATTCCATGCACCCAAAAACCTCCATATTTCTCCAAGAACTTCATGTAGGCGTTTTTAGGTCATGGAGAATGTATTTATATGTTGGATGTGACATCCCCAATTTCACAGCCAGAAAAGACCGGTTTGTTTGTGCTTTATTTTTAAATCAGAGTAATCATTTAAAGAAAACTATTGCGGAATTTGTTCCCAAAACGAAATATGATAAGAATTTATCAAAAGCATTTCTTAACGAAATGTATTTTCATTATATAACAAAATCTCGGGATGTCATGTTCCGATATAGACCAAAAGCATAAACATATCAAAATAGACCTTACAACAGTTATTTATAACTACTGGCCTATAATCCATTATCTCTCGTCATGTCAACCAACTTATGCTCTCGAGCCACTTCCTGTAATACAAAGAAAACTGAGTGGGTCAGGCTTGGGAGCCTGGTGAGCATATAGGGTTTTCAACCCACAATAATACAATTATTATATTCAATCATCAAACAATCAACCCAATTACTCATTCTCATTATTTTCTTTATTTCTTAAGGTTTTACCCTAAGAATCAACTATCCTTCATTCATTCATTCCTAAGGATTGACCTAAGGAATTGGCACAAAATCCATTGCTACATAAGGCGCATCTGCCAACTTTATCCTTTAAGCGCCTCTGCCAGGATTACGACATTCACTATTAGGCGCCACTGCCCGGATTATGACATACACTATTAGGCGCACCTGCCGACATTATCCTTTAAGCGCATCTGCCAGGATTACGACATTCACTATTTGGTACATCTGCCAATATTATTCTCAATCATCTTTCATACCTCATCATTTATCTACCCATGTTTTTCCCAACATATCCGTATATATAAAATACATATACAGTTTAACTTATTTAAAACCTGTACCAAACATTGCATTCAACACCCATCTCAAATAAACAAACAATTTATTAACACATATCACGTATTTTATAGCCAATACTTCATAGTCAACACCCATTTCAGATAAACAAACAATTTATTAACACATAGTACGTATTTCATAGCAAATACTTCATATTTATGTGTTAGAAGAAAGTGACTACACACTCACCTGATAAGACGATGATCGGACAGCACCTCGTCTATTAAAACAATAATCTTCGATGACACCGGGATGTTTTCTCCAAAATCGGGCTTTACGCGGACAGAGTTTCGGCTCGGAAACTTTACTTCTCGGGATCCTCGGGGCTTCGGGACTTGCTTCGGGTCTCGAGAATGATACTGGGGCTTCGGGGTATTTCTCGCACACAAAACGAGATAATATGGAGTGAGAGAGAAGATTTGGCAACCACAAACGGTTGGCTTTGTGATCTATTTATAGTGCTGAAGTCTGCCGCGAACGCAGGGCGTTCCCCGAACGCTGGACGTTCCCTTCGAACGCGGTGCGTAGGAGCAGGGTTCCGATCCTATCCCTTATCCACTGAGTCAGCATCGACGTGGCCACTCCGGAGCCAAGTATTGAACGTGGGGCGTTCCCCAATTGAACGCGGCGCGTTCCCCCTTTGGGATGCGTGCCTCGAACTTCATAAAATCATAACTCTCTCATACGATCTCTGATTTTGACGTTCTTTATATTCACGCGTAGGTGAGATTATGCTCTACAACTCTCGTTTAGACTCCGTCGGCTAATTTTGACTTTATTTTTATTATTATATTTTTATAAGGCCGGAACAGGAAATGTCTGTTAAAAATTCATAACTCCTTCATCCGACGTCCGTTTTCGTCTGACTTTTTACCGTTGCGCTACTAATAACGAGATCTTCGATTCTCGTTTAGATAGTTTAGGCTAAAAATCATTCGATCTCATATTCGAGTTTCGGGCTGCATACTGCTGAGCTGAAACTTAGAAAAATCATAACTTCCTCATACGAAGTCAGATTTAGACGTTCTTTTTATGCACGCTCTCGGTTTAACGTATTCTACGACTTTATTTTAGATCGCTAAGGCCAAATATCGCTCTATCGTAAATTCACTATTTACGTCGCGTTGTGTCGTGTCGGTTCTGTCGCGAAACTTCGATAGGTCATAACTTCTTCGTTATAACTCGGATTTCGGCATTCTTCATATATCCGGAACCCTTGTCACCACCACTACCACTTAGTTAAGATTATTCATTCTAAATAATCTTCTATTAAAAGTCATTTTTGATGCTTATCGCCTCTAAATTGACTAGCCTGATCTACGGGTGTTACATTGGATTTCAAGGGTCATGGGTATAACCCAAATCCATACTTATGGGTGTTATGATCCATGGTTCATGTGGCCCAACTCTGTATGTATCCATACATAAACTTGGTCCAACATGGATCATAAGCCTAACATGTGACAACCGTCAATTTCAAGTCAAAGTCAACAAGTCAAAGTCAAAGTCAACAAGTCAAACCGGTCAAACTTAACTACTACTTGTATGATTATAAGTTATTCTATGAAAATATACATTTGTATGTCAAGAATTCAAGTGTCTCGAATATTTTATGTGTTGAACAATGTAAAACCCTAAGAAGGGAGTTAAATGCATCAAAACACGACTATGGACCATTTTGGGGACTTAAAATGATCTTAAACGAAGCATAACGGGGTTCACGAACCTTGCATTGCGAGACAATATGATAATATTGACTAAAAAATAAATCTCTCCCAAATCTCTCCCACATATCTCTCAAAATCTCTCTCAACTTTTTAAGTCATCCGGGTCATCCCGACCCTTAACTTGACGAAAAATCACTCAAAACAGGAAGTTTACTTGAAAAACAGCCCTTTAGGACCGAAACCCTTCTTAAGGACCGAACCTCTTAGAAGCGAAACCCTA